CCATCCTCCCCAACTTCTCGTGGATGACGCCGTGCGTGTCGGCCAAACATTTGGTCTACATCGGCCTGAGAGACCTCGACCCCGAGGAGCAGTAAGCCATCCACTATTCCCAAAGTCAAACAATTTGGAGTTCAGTTGTTATTGTTTCCGTCCACGTGTTCTTTTCTTTCTGTTTATATTTTCCTGTTCCTATACACGTGTGTGTTCTTGTTACTGTGGGTGTGTTCCTGTTCATTTTCTTGTGCAAATATTGGTGTGTTTGGGTATTCCTGTACCTTTGTGTGTCTTGTGTTCTTCTTCCTGTGTATGTCCCAGTTTGTGTCCGTCGATGTCACGTGTGTGTTCCTGTTCTATATTCCTCTTTTTGTGTTCCTGTGCATGTCTGTGTGTGCGCGCTGCAGTTCGTGCATGAGTTCCTCTGTGTGTTTGCTCTTCTTGTGTATGTTAGTGAGTTTGTCTGTTTGTTCTAGTTCCATTGTAAGTACCTCCTGCTGGGGTGACACCGCAAGGCATAGATTGAAGTCCACACTCCGATATGTAGAAGTGAAGAAGCCGTTCGGTTTGGAGGTCAAAAGTATTGAGCCAACCAGAAACGTCACGTCGGCTGTACGTTGTCAAAGTGTTTTCCCGTCGGTGTGCAGTTTCCTCCTGAATCTGGTGGGCGTGAAGTCCTTCTCCATGACGCAAGTGGACGCCCTGGGCATCGGCCGAGTGATGGAGGAGACGTGCGACTTGCTGTGTAAAGACGGGTAAGTACTCTAGCCCCCCCCCTGAGTCTTCTTGCCGTCACATGGTCACATGTCACCATTGAACGCCGCCGGAGCAGGACGAGAAGGCCGATCCACCTGAGCTACGACGTGGACGCCTTCGACCCGGCCGTCACCCCGGCAACAGGGACGCCCGTGATGGGCGGCCTCACCTACAGGGAGGGCGTGTACATCGCCGAACACCTCGCCAACACCGGTCGGAAACCTACACGCTCACATTAAAGACAACAAACTCTGTGCATGTGTGTCTTACTGCCCGTGCGCACGCATTCCCGTTAATTATTGTGTGCATTTATGTCTTGTGTTTCAGGGCTGCTGTCGGCGGTGGACGTGGTGGAGGTGAACCCTGCCGTGGGCGTGTCCGAGCAGGACGTGCAGCGGACGGCCGGGGTGGCGGTGGACATTTTGCTGGGCTGCTTCGGACGCCTGCGTGGAGGAAACCACCCGCCGAATTTCTGCCTGCCTGACGCGTGACCACGACGTGAAAGGCCTGAAGCCCCTTTTAGCTTTTCACCCGCCCTCCTTCATATCCCGCTTAAGGTCCAGGTACTTTGTTCTCACGGCTGAGACAAGTCAGTCACGAGTCCAACCACCGTCTTTTTGTCCAAAAAAACAGAAATACTTCACTTGGATGCTGGTTAAAGCCAAAGAAATTCTCATGCACGCCTTGAATGACTCAAGACGCTTTTTCGTTTGTTGTCTTTGCACATTTTTGTCTTCCTTAGTTCATTCACTCCACATTTGGACTGATGTTTGCTGATGTTTCATTTTGAAAATGGACAGATGGGGCCGCTCATTTGTAGAAGAGGTAAAAAACAAAAGTTAGACTCTAGTTTGACAATAAAATAATTCTCAATTTTTTTAATTGATAAAACATTATGTTCTATGCAACCCAGCTGTTCCAAACATGGCGTTTTGATTAATATTCCCTTTGTGAATATGCATGAAGCAGCAAAACGCACTTGTCTTCATCCATCGCCACCATTTTGTCACTTGCAGTCAACTAAAAATGACACCACAGTGTCCGGCGTGCTCAGGTTACTACCGTCATAGCTCACCTCCAGCTCAGCTTATGGGTTTGGTCATGTGATGGTCGCAAGCTGAGCACGCCAGACACTTTTTAGTTGACTGCAAGTGGCAGTACAAGACAAAAGAATGCAAGAAGTATTACAGTACGTCTGATAATGTGAACGCTCAGCAGGCCAACATCCAAAATACCACAAGTGCACAAATGTGAGACGTTATCGTCCACAGAGCAAAGAACGAAAAGGGGGGAAAAAAGGGGTGGCTGCAAACTCTCCCAAATAAGCCAAAGGCACACTTGAGTGGAACAAAACGCGTTTAATTCTTCATGCAGCCAAAAGGAAATTCATCTCAAAATATTCCAAGAATCAATTATTCAGCCTTGGCTTCATTTGAGGTCAGTGGTTTTTGATTTTTTTTCTTTCTCCAAAGATGATCATTGTCATGGTAACAGCAACACAATAATACAACAACATAGCATGTAGCTGAGTGCCCAAGGTGGACTCGGCCCAGTTGACTCCCCACGTTCAGGTGGAACTTTGCAGGCCACAGCGCCTCCTGAACTCCTGACCTCGCTCGTGCAGCCACTTGTTGGCCACTGAGGAGACAGGCCACAAGTACAATATTTAGAGCATGGATGTGGATAGTGGCACAAAAAAATCCTTTTGTAGGGTTTGTGAATGATTCCAAACGCCCCATTCATCCCTGAACCAAACTGCTTTATCCTCACGAGGGTCGTGGGTGTGCTGGAGCCTATCCCAGCTGACTTTGGGCAGTCGGCGGAGTACACCCTGAACTTCTTGCCGGCCAATTGCAGGGCACACCTTGACAAAATAACCATTCACAAACGCAATCACGCCCAAGGACAATTTAAGAGTGTTCAATTAACCTACCATGCATGTTTTTGGGGATGTGGGAGGAATGAAAAGAAAACAAAAGGAATGGTATTTGGTCTCAGTGGCCCTTGTACATCCAATCTGCTGACCTAGGCCCCCCCTGGCTCCTTATCTAAAGCCAACAACCTCAAACTTGCGTTACCTTGTACTTTCAGAGAGTTTTCAATACGTATAAGTGAGGGGGTAGTACTCATAGTATGACATTCAAGGATTGGAACCGACGTATTTTCCAAACCAAGTATTTCCTTTAAAAAATACAAATAAAGTATACAAGCAAGTATTCGCTTGCCGACATTGACGCTTCACAACGCTCCTGTCTTCGGTAGTTTTCGGAAACACAAAAAAATCCTTTTGTAGGGTTTGTGAATGATTCCAAACGCCCCATTCATCCCTGAACCAAACTGCTTTATCCTCACGAGGGTCGTGGGTGTGCTGGAGCCTATCCCAGCTGACTTTGGGCAGTCGGCGGAGTACACCCTGAACTTCTTGCCGGCCAATTGCAGGGCACACCTTGACAAAATAACCATTCACAAACGCAATCACGCCCAAGGACAATTTAAGAGTGTTCAATTAACCTACCATGCATGTTTTTGGGGATGTGGGAGGAATGAAAAGAAAACAAAAGGAATGGTATTTGGTCTCAGTGGCCCTTGTACATCCAATCTGCTGACCTAGGCCCCCCCTGGCTCCTTATCTAAAGCCAACAACCTCAAACTTGCGTTACCTTGTACTTTCAGAGAGTTTTCAATACGTATAAGTGAGGGGGTAGTACTCATAGTATGACATTCAAGGATTGGAACCGACGTATTTTCCAAACCAAGTATTTCCTTTAAAAAATACAAATAAAGTATACAAGCAAGTATTCGCTTGCCGACATTGACGCTTCACAACGCTCCTGTCTTCGGTAGTTTTCGGAAACACTCGGCAACCATCGGCGCAAACCCGGGATCATATGCTCGTCTTCGGCTTTGAGATCACGTATGATCACGCGAGAACTGAGCCTCGGAGGACTGGTGTGGATTCTGGACCCGTGGTGCAACAACGTGTGTATTTCCAAAACTCTTACCGGTAAATGGACGACTTTTTTTGTGGAGTATGCCAAAAGGTAAATCATCTTTTAACTTGAGAAAACTCCTAGTTTGGTGAGCTCAGGTGTTTGTTTCCTCGTCGCTTCCTGCACGTCGAGCACCAAACAGCAATTGTTTGGCTTGTCTGTGATCAGTAATTTGACTTGATCAATAAAGATTGTCAAAAAGAGCACGAAGCAGCAAGACGGCCACTGCCTTTCACCTCCTTTTTTTCCCGTTCTACTTTTGTTAAACGTTAGGTGTAATTTGTATTTTGATTTTTACATGCTTTTAGGTTTAAGGTTTATTAGTTTTGTATTGTTTTTTGTAATATTCTGTATTTGTCAAGTGCCAAATGAAGAAAAATGGTTTATTTATGTATTTTGGGGCACAAGGTGATGACTGTCTTGTGCAAACTGACCCCACTTGCTCCCCACCAGGACGGGACAGGCGGCGTGTTGGGTCTCGTAGTTTCCCTGTCCATCAGGCAGAAGGTTGTACCAGAACACAGCCGAGCCCTGCACATAGACGACTATGCCATTAAAACCTGGAAAAAGCATTTACACTTCCAGGCACGCACCAAACACTTAATCAGGTACACCCTTGCCTGCACAACCTGATGACGTCCGGCCACGTTGCGTTATTCCCGAGACATGTTTTTGAAATTTGAATATTTTTATGTCCCATAAGCTTAACCAAACCTTTGAAGAGTCCAGTTGACTGTGTACCCAATAAAGTGGCTGCTGTGCGGACCACGTGCGTATGCGAAAACAAAAACAAACCTTGATTGGCCAGGCAATAGCGCCCACGTTGGGGAAGACAGTAGCGCCCCCTGCCTGCACGTCACTTATCTGCAGCACAAAGGTGAAGCCATAAAAAAAAAAAAAAACGTAGCAACGCTTTTTCTTGATGAAAATTGAGATCGAAGGAAGTGTGCTTTACTGACGTAAAGGAGCCAGGTGGCGATTCGGTTTCCCGTGCCCAGATGCGCGTAAGGCTCAACGCTTTCGTTCACTGAAAACTGTGAATAACATACCACTCAAAAACTTGCAGAGATCTTCGATTTATATGATAGATTTAGCTTGTAATTACCCGTTGAAAGTCGACATGAGGTTCGTACTGTCCTCCGACGCCGTAGTTGGCCACCTGCACAAATTTGAGCACTCGCAGTTGAGTTGATTTTTATTGATTTACGTCGAAGGTGAGGAGGTGGATGGGAGGAACTTGTCACCTGCAGGTCCTCTGCGGTGGACATGTCCAAGCCTGTGATCTCTCCGATTCTCCTGACCATCCTGCCGACCCTCTCGTGGTCCCTGTCCTTCAGCCAAGCACTGCGGAGGAAGAGCGCGTGGGTATAAGTCTACACACCCCTGTTCTAGTGGCAGTTTTGTTGTCATTTGAAAACATGAGTGAGACAAGGGATTTGAGTTTTTTTTTTTAAATAATCTCCACAACTCTGTTGGAAACAAACTGAACGGGGAAGGGAAAGAAAACGGAGAATGTGGTTGTACAAGGGTGCACACCCTCTCGCACAACTGCCGGTACTGATTTTCGCCAATCCCGTTTACCCCCCCCCCCCCACCATAACCAACAGCATACACCTTTAATGTTCCTTTAATTTTTTTTATTGTAAAGCATTGAACAATACCTTGAAATGAAACTGTTTGATGATACTTCATCTCTTTTTTTTCTTTTCTTTTTTTTCATCTAAGCCCACACAAGTGCCGCCCCGACTACCCAAGTGTCTGTGCATGTGTCCATTCAGTCATCCTTACTTTTGGGAGACCCTGGTGCGAACCGGGTAAGATTTCTCTGTCTTGCCATCTCTGACTTTGGAGCGCATGAGCTAGCTCAGCCGTCACACGATTGTTCGACAAGAGACACAGAAACACGTCAAGGCACGGCAAGTTTGGCAAAGAGCACAAAGATTCAGGAAGTGTTAACACTGCATAGGAAGCAATTTTGTCTTCCACCTGCAAAGATGTGCATGTCCCACATGTGATCGGGGAGACACTGGATGTTTTTTTTTTTTTTTTATAAAAAGAAACGCATAGCGGGCTTACTCTGGGTTGAGCCAACGCTTTGTAGATTGCCATGTCCTCCTCCGACACAATGTCGTAATAGCGGACGATGCGGGGCTGGTCCCACAGCTCTTCCTCTTTGAAGGGAGCAATCAGGAGGTTGGGATGGCCGTGGTTGTCGTGGTAACGGCAGGAGAGGAGGCTCTGTCTGAGCGGCGTCTGTCACAAAGACAAGCCGAGAGAGTACAGGGCTCCGGCGTCGGGGATTTTGCGGCGTCTTCTCACCATCTCCATGCTGTTGCCACGACACAGCCGCTCGTACACGTTGTTGTAGGGAGCGCGACCCTTCTTGAGCGTCTCCTCGCCCGTCTGCTGTTTCGCCAGGTGTTCCTCAAAGTACTTGAGATTCTGGTTGGCCCGCTCGTTTTCCGGATCTTAAAACCCAACGCGAGCGGATGTTCCGCTTCAGCGGTGCGGAAGTTGAGCGGACGTTTTCCTTTTGGTCGACTCACCGATTTCCAGCAGCCGCTTGGTGGACACCAAGGCGCTTTTCAGATCTCCTTGCTTGTAGAGGACGAAGCTGTGGTAGTCCAGGAGGATGCCGGCGTCCACGTTTTCGGGCGTCTCGCCCTGCTCCAATTGCCGGAGAGCTTGAGCCATCCACAGCTCGGTGTGGTAGAAGTCGTTGTCCCTGTACGCCGCAATGCCCACGTCGTAGCAGTCTTCCACCGTCAGGTTGCTTAGGAGCAGAGAGGTTCCTGTTTTGGGGCCGAGGATTGGACTTAGGACTTCTGGAGTCTGGGTCTATACGTGCTAAGTTGGTCTTGCAGACATACAATACTTTGGCTCCCGCACATTCGCGGCTCGGCATGAGCAAATCGACCCCATTTGCAGTTTCTTTTTTGAGCCAATCCTCCAAATCTTGTGCTCATTACAGCAAAAAAAGTCATTGCTTACTTATATGTCAATGTTTAGAATTGACATATTAAGTAGTTTGAACTAGGTGTCGCCCGCTCACCTGGCAGCTTCCCTTTGGCCATGGTGTCGGTGTCCAGCTGATAGGTGTCCTGCAGCCTCACGAGGGCTTCGGCCACACCCGTCAGGTCGTCGTCGTTGGGAAGGTGCTCGCTCCTGGAGTTGAAGTTGGACACGAAGCCTGAAACGCAAGAGCCGCAGCGTCCAAACCGACTCGTACTTTTCGGAGCGAGCGTTCAAGCTTCGGGACGTTTGTGTGTTTTCACCGTCGGATACGTTGCTGCGCACCAGCCCCTCCAGGTCACGCCACTCTCGGTTCATCCTCTTCAGAAATTTAAAGGCGTTCACGGGGTGGCTCAGGAAGCGTTCGGGATTTTTGATGGCAAACGACGACAGGTTGGCCAGGCTCTCAGACCACCTGAGTACACGCGTACACACCCGCGCGCACACACACGTAATTATCTGGTCAGTGTGACCTCCACCAGATGCGAACGTATTGATGCTGTAGGTGGTCTTGGACCTTTTGACCGTCTCCAGTTTGTTCTCCTCCGCTTGGATGTAATCGTTCAGCGAGGCCAACAGCTGCTGCTCCGTGTACAGCAGCTCCGTCATGCGACCTCGTAGTTTGGTAATATTAGTGAACGGAAAGAAGGACCGGGCCTTGCCGCCAATAGCAAAAATAGAATCGCAAATAGACGCCACGGGAATTACAGTAAGACAGAGACGATCATAAGGCATCAACAGCACAGATAACATGCTGGGGTGACCTACCATCACATTAACAAATACGCGACCAGCACCTTACACAAACGTGTCAGTACAGTATGGAACAAATAGTACCTCATTATTTTTAATAATAGTGATATTATAGAATACTCACCTATGGAAGAGTAGAACTCATCAGCAGCCAATGAGCAACTGATGAGAATCACCAACAAGCAAAAGACCGCCATGTCTAAATGGACAACAATTAGATGATAATGGTAAGTAGTCACTTTTTTAAGTTTTTAATTAATCACTGTTACATTCATACTGACAACAGGCAGAAACGTGCCAAAATAGACCATGGATTATATTCTCATCGTTTAGGACTTGCTTATTTATTTTGTTAACACCCACGAGAACAGCTGAACTTTATTTGGGGTTTATCGAACACAGCTGCATCCAGCGTTAAAAGAGAGATGATCTTAGCTGTTTATTTTTTCTTGCACTTATTGAAAAAAAAAATAATATATATATATATATAGGAGATTTCTTTCAATTTTTAGCTTCATCTTCCTCCCGAAGCAGCACATGCGCAACCCTTTCTCCGCACGTGACGCACACGATGTCGACGTGTTTCCTTTTAAATCGTTCCAATTTGTTCGCTTTGATCGTCAGTCAATAATTTTTCCTATCATTTTACCGCACAAGACAGAGAGCACCTCAATTATTACCACCATTGCACGTTTGTCAAATTCATCACCCAAATGTTATCAATGCTAAGATGAAGACACTAAAGATGAATTAACTGCATGTAGATTTTTTTTTAATAAGCGAGCCATTGGGCACACTTGATTGAGGACCAATTCTTCCACGATCAAAGCCTCGACAAAATTAAAAGAATCGCTTGTCAAATTCATCTGTTTCAATAGGATTAAAAACAAACCCCTTCCCCAATTAAGAAAAACAACCCACAAAGGTGACCAAATTAATTCAGAGAGTAGATTCCGACCTCATTCAACAATTGAAATGAGGTGTCAAATTCGGATTAAGATTGTCGACGAGGTTTGACGCACCTGAAGTGCCGAAGTCAAACCGAGCAGCCCGCCGCCGTTCGGAATCAACCGAAGTCTCTGAAATGTGGCCAATGTGTTGGATTTCCAATTTTGACAGTTGCCGACTTCGAGTCGCTTCTGTGAGTGATCGTTTGTCAGGTGTCGCCCCGTCTTGCTATGAAGTTGCTTTTGTTTTGCTTTGGCTTCATTCGTATTTCCTTTCTGCGCTTTGGTGCCCAGTAACGAGTTTGACTGGAGTTTCCTGTCTGATCAATCACGCCCGAGACATCAAAGTAAACAATGGCCGTGTTGTGCACCTAATCCAAAATCTACCACGACGCCATATTGGATGTGGCAAAAATAAAATCAGATAAAATAAACACACACACTTTGCTGGTCGGATGTGAATCGGTTGATGGAGCTGATTGTCCAGAGCAATTCGAACCCGACTGCTAAGGTTCGCTTTTGAAGTGCCCCTGGGCAAGTCGTTGAACCTCCAACTGCCTCCAGGTCTACATTTTAAATGAAAATCAGTTCAAAAATTGCCTTACGTGGTTAAAGAATGAATAAAAAGTGCTCCGATATATGTCATATCTCCTTTTCTTCTATTGGATTACTCTACACACAATCGTTTGTGAGTTAAACAGATGAAATCATCTATTTCTAGATTCGCATTTGCTCTCTCGACAGTGACGCAAACGTTTCAGTTGTATTTTGTCGTGTGCAATCGTCGCCACTAAGTGTCACAAGTGACACATCGAAAATAATTTTACTTTATGCTTTTGGCAGTATCGTAACCAAATTTTGAAAAACTGCTTGTCCGTCCGTTCGTCAATTGCATTGAATCTCTAAGTTGTTTTTTCCCCCTCTAATGTATCGTAATGTTAATAGTTGTGCACAATGTTACAGTGGCTTATTAATTTTCAGCCAAATGCCTTCGAGGAATACAATATTGGGGTGGTGTAAAAAAAAAAAACAGCTAGTGTTCTATCTATTTGCAAATAAAGGTCAGAGGTCATTTTCCTTCATGACGATGACTGATGACAATCTCTTGATGAGCATGCGAAATCTGGCACGTGTCAGCGTTTTGGGGGGTGTGTGTGGAGGTAGGAGGGGGCTTGTCTTCTTTCTCATCTTGCTCTTCCTTTGCCCTTGCCTTAATGTCCACTCAGGAGCTCAGCATGTGTCTGTGCCTCATCGGCTGTTTTGATGCCAGTGGCGGAGTTAAGTCGAGCCAGCTCAGCGGCGTCGCAACCCTTGGCTGGCCTCCTCAGATACTGGCGACCTTAACCAGGGATGGCTCAAGACGGAGCATTGTGTTGATCATCTTTACAAGGATAATAAACACACTGAGCAGAGGGTACAGGGAGTTGAGGGCGAAAATGTGGACAGACTCCAAAATCAGTTCTGTCAAAACATTTTTGGCCGGGTTATTGTCCATCTGGACTGTGAAGCGCTGACCGTCCAGTCAGTTCTGAAGCATTTCGCTGAAAATGAGCAGATCATCAGGTTGCCGGAAACATTTCAGAATTTATCCTGCATGCATTTCCAGTGGCAGTCATAGGTTCCCCCATGCTTGAGGTGACATAGTAGCTGTTTTTTTTTCTTTTTTTTTAAAATAAAACAACACCACCACCAATCCCAGCCAGATTTAAAAGGCAGTTGCTCAGGACACTAAGCTCCTCCTCCTCTCCCAAGTGAGCAGAAATGAAAGCTGGATGTAATCCCTCCTCCCTCTTGTTCCCCCCCCCCCCTTCTTTCTAATCAGTGTGGAGAGACAGCAGCAGTCCTGCATGAGGATCTTCCACTGACGGCGGCAGCACTTGCAGCATCCACTGGACCAGCAGCGCGCGCGCCCAAGTCCCCATCACCATGGCGGCGGGTGGCAGCTCCCCCACGGCCGCCTTCTTGCTATGCCTGCTGCTGGGCTCAATCTCCCTGCAGCTGGACACCGGAGGCACCGAGGAGGCGGCGGCGCAGAAAGCAGACAATTTGATGCAGGACGAGCGCTGGCGCGACGGCAGCCGCAGGACGGAGACCTGGAAGCCTTTCCGAGACGTGAGTTGTTGTCTTTCCGGCCCTGTGGCAAAAAGCATGCGCGCGTGTTGTCTGACGATCACGTATTATGCGGGCTTTGTGTGTGTGTTTGTGTGTGCGCGCGCGTGTGTGTGTGTGTGACGTGTGTGTGTGTGTGTCTGTGTGTTTTGTGCTGCTGCACTGTGGAGGTGCAAATGTTCCAAGTTTGTGGGTGAAATGGCTGGCAATAGACGAAGCCATCTCCAATGGCACCTGTAGTAAAAAAAAAAAACAACAAAAAAAAAACATAACATTTTGCCGTAGAATTTTTTCCAGGTTTTTCTGAACAATTCAATTTTACCTCTTCAAAAAATGTTCATATATTCTCTGAATAATTATGGATTTGTTTTCCTTCTCCATTCCCACTTACATTGTGAACTTTGACTTTTATTTGAGTTTTTATACTTGTGTAAAATCCTAAAATGTTCGTCGTTGTGTTTCTCTCTCTTCCCACTGCGTGACGTCACCACGACAGGAAGTGGAGGTTTGTTTTGAATTTGCATTGCGCGGCGTGTCATGTGTTGTCCACCTCGTTCTTTTTTTTCCTCTCTTTCCAGGATGACTATGTTCCAAAAGTGGAGGACAGCGCGACCTTGAATGAGAGTAAGTGTTGCTTCAGAACCAGTTTTTTGTTGTCAAGTTTAGTTTGTTTTTTTTTAAGCACCGGTCTCGTTGCTGCGTTTGTAGACACGGACGGCACCAAGGACCCGTGTCGCAATGTCAAGTGCAGCCGCTACAAGTTGTGCGTGGCGCACGCTTCCCAGAGGCCCGTCTGCGTCACTCGCAAGAAGCTCGAGCAAAGGTACACAAGCAAAATATTATTATTATTATTTTTTTTTTTTTAGAGAGATCTTGTCACCTTTGGAAACAAATGGTAAAAGTTGAACCCTTTGGTTGTCATTGTGTAATGTGAAAATGTCAGAAATGTACAAGAAAAGGGTCCGTGTGATGAGGAAAATATAATTTCGCGAGAATTGAGTCAGAATTTTATAAAAATACGATCTGAATGTCACGATATGAACCTCAAGATAATGAGAGAGGTTGTAATTGGATGAGAACCGAGTTATAGTTTTAGCATAGCGAAATTAGAATTTGATGACATTAATGTCAGCGTTTCTAGAAAAAAAAAAAAACAGTGTAAGTTTTTTGAGAGTGAAGTTGAAACATTCTGAGAATCAAATGAAACGCCCAGAATTTTTTTTTTAGTGTTAATGAGGAGAAAAAGAATTGCACAGTCAGTTTTTGAGAAATCGCACAAGAATGACAGCTTCATTTTAACATGGTAAAAGTTGGAGCTGTACAAAATAAAAAGTCATGTAAATATTGTGAGGGGGGAAAAAAAAGAAGACTGTTCCATTTTTATAATAGTCAACAAAAAAACAACAACTCCTTTTTCCCTCAGAATCCAGATGGCGGAGGAGCCGGGGAGGCGCGACGCCAACTGTCCCTCTTGTCCCCCTGCCGCCTCGGCACCCGTGTGCGGTTCCGACGGACACAACTATGCCTCGCAGGTAATCGAACACCCCCCCCCCAAAAAAAGTATGTTATGTTGTAGCCTTCCTCCAAAAAACATTTCTCCTTTTTCAGTGCGGTGGCCTCATGAATATTTCTACTTGTTTTTCAGTGTAAGCTCCAGCAGCAGGCCTGCCTCACGGGCAAAGTTTTGAGCATCATGTGTGCTGGATTTTGTCCCTGCGCCGCCTCCATTCCCTCCGCCAAGGCCGAAGCCAAACCTGGTGAGAATCTTCTTTCCTTCTTGTTTTTTTTGTCTTTTTTTTTTTTTTTTTTTGGCCCACGCACAAGAAAAGCGATCGATAGGCGGCTGTCTGAAGAGATTCAACGCCACCCTTGGGACTCGGTGCTCTTTGAGTCTGCTGCATAATCCGAAATTCATTATTTAGAGTGTATACATCATCCATCACGGCAGGCCAACGCGATCGATCGATGGTGCACTTTGCGGAAACGCCGATGAATCAATTTGAAGGCAGAGGAAAAAAGGAACGCCTTCATTAGTATCTGCAGTTGAAAAGCAAACTTGATTAGATCATTGCCGGTGTGAAAAAGGAAGCAAGCGGACAAAACATTAGGAACAGGCATACAGAATAGAGTTTGGTTTATTTTTTTGGATTTCCCTTTTTTTGGTTTGTTATGTTTTTAAACTTCAGATCAGCGATTCTCTGAGTGTGTTACAAGCATCACCAGTGGCACCCGGACTGTCTCTAGTGGTATCCCAACGAATAAATTCATTACATACAAATATGATTTCCACCAATTCAAAAGTAGTGCAATCAAACAGAGGAGAATGTAGCGACATCCGGTTTAGTGAGCTTTTTTTTTCCATCCAAAAAAATAAAAAATATTTGTAATACTTTTCAAACTTTTTTGGGGTGGGGGGACACAACCATTTTTTTTTTTTTTTTTTTTTTTTTAAATAACCAGTATCACCGGTTATTCAAGATTTTTTTGGGTGGGGGGGGAGTTTAAGAGAATGACCCATTTTTCCTTTTTTAAATGCAAGCAGTTTTCCAAATTTCAATCTAAATTTGAGTGATGTTTTTAGTTGTTTTTCTGAGGTGTTTGTTCTCCATTCCGTCTCCTTTTCAGAGAGCTGCACAGGCGAGGCCCTGGCCAACTTGGGAAAGCGTCTCGGGGATTGGTTCCAGTTGCTGCACGGAAACGCCAAACACAACAAGTCGGCCAAGCCGGCGGCCGCCACTGCCTCAGGTTTGCTTTTACATGCCTGCATGCCAGGATTCCCAAAGGAGACAAAAATATCCTCAAGGTGGCAAAAATGCTCTGTTGGCAAAACTCATTCACTGCCACCCCCCAGTCAAAATTGATCTTTGACGTCTTTCACCGTCAATGACAGTGAAGGAGTGAAGTGAACAAAAAACAGCTCGCCCGTTTGCGGTTTGCAGCGCTGGAAAGGAGCTTGCTGGCCAGCTGCAAAGACTCCATGTTGTGGATGTTCCTGAAACTGGACGCTGACGGCGACTTGCACCTGCGGGCTGGCGAGCTGGCCGCCGTCAACCTGGACAAGTACGAGCCTTGCGTCAGGCCGTTCTTCAATTCCTGCGACAGCATCAAGGACGGCAAAGTCTCCGTGGCCGAGTGGTGCCTCTGCTTCTGGAGGGAAAGTGAGTCACGTGCTGCTTGACCCCAAAACATGACCTGCTCGTAGTGCATAGCTGAAAATTGTTTTGCCTTCTTGCGGTAGAGCCGCCGTGCCTGGCTGAGCTGGAGAAGATCCAAGCGCACCACATGGCCAAAAACAAGCCGAGTAAACACATTTTGACCTTTAATTCTGCTTGTTTCTTCTTATGTGTTATTTTCCTATTTGTGTCTTATTTTAATTTGGGCCTTTTATGTTTTGATGTATTTTTACTCTTACGTGTGCGTGTGTGCATGTACAATAGTACGCACGTACGTACCCACCTGTGACGAGGATGGCCACTACAGGAAGTGGCAGTGCGAGCAAAGTGGCGGCGAGTGTTGGTGTGTGGACCAACAGGGCGGCAGCGAGGTAGCCGGCACCAGAATGCGGGGCAACCCCGAATGCGGTAAAGACAACCGCAATAAATGCACAGAAAAAGAAACACCTGCATGAATAAGTGTATACATTTTGGTCGAGCATCAAATATTCAATTTCCTTGTGCTTTCCAGATGAAGCGTTGGGATACTCCGGCCATTTCGGGAGCGGGGTGGGCTGGGAGGATGAAGAAGAGAAGGAGGTGGAGGAGGAGGAAGAGGAAGAGGAGGAGGAAGAGGAGGAGACTGATGATGGAGGCTACATCTGGTAGCAGCTGCCGCGGGGAGTCCAAACGGAGAGCCCCGTTCAGGGACAGCAAAGATGTCAGCAAAGGGGTCTGGATCAGGAGAGATTCCCCATGAGGAGGTGACAAGCATTCTATTTTTTTTTATTTTTTGTCTTGGGTATTGCTAATCGCCTCATTCTGTATTCTGGACGTATAATATGAACGGAGCAAAGTGTTAACAACACAGGCAACTGTTAACAACATTGAAGAGTTAAATAAATGTGAAATATCCGGATGGAAAAGATTGCCAATCTATGTTAGCTCAGCATAAAGACCCAAACACAAATTTCTTTTGACGCGAAGCGTTAGCGTATTTATTTCCCGCATCACCGAGTCCGTTTTTAAATTAAAAAAAAAAAACATTTTGAATGGAAGCGTTAGAGCATCACACGGGACCTTTGAAGTGTCGCTCATTTGCATACACGCCGTCCGTCCGCTGTACAAACATTTACACGCCTCGTCCATCCATTCAGATGCATTTGAGGTAGACGCTAAAGTCTGACTTTGTAGCCACACAATCATTTATTAGTAGCAAAAAAAAAAAACAGCTACGTTTATTGATCAAGAATTGCACACGGAATGTGATTTAGTGTCATTTTATTTTTTTTTGTTGTTGACAAGCATGAAATGTCCACAAAATGTAAAGTGATGTCCCTTCCACGCCATCCTTACTTATCGTAGTAGAACCATTTGTCGACTGAAACAAATAAATGAAAAAAGTAAAAACCAGAGCACAGTATTGTGTCAGAAATCAACAGCACAAAGTGGACATTTTTACTTGATACACACCAGAAGTGGGAATGGGTTCCGCAGCTCCAAAAGGACCAGCCTGCAAACGGTTCATAAGCACGTATGAGGAAACGTACGAAAATGTCATGCGACTATTTGTATCTATCAATTGCGAATTATGTTGTCAGTAGTTGAGATGAAAGGAAATGTATATATGCGTATCAAAAAAATATTGACACTTTGGTCAGAATTTTCACTGAGCATTTTTGGGGAGCGCGCCCCTCGGCCCACCTTCGAAAATTCTCATTCATATCCAACTTACTGAATCAACCACGGCGGCGGCATCTTCGGCAGAGCAACAAAATGGACTCTCAGAGACGCTTGTGTTCATGCTGATCAAAAAAAAAAAAAAAACTGTATTCAATATTAGTCATATGATACGGCAACCCCCTGCATAATGTGTAGTTCAACATTCACAAATTTGCCTATTTGTAGTTTTTGTTAGTGCTTTTCTGCGCAGAGATGTCTCCATGCCAGATGTGAGTGGGCCACATTTATGTAAAGTTACGCTTTTGGTGGTGGCGAACAGAGTCAACTGTGTTCGCGCCCACAACGGCGCAAACATGCCTTTTAAAAAAAAAAATACTTCAGCTTGCGCGCCTCTTGCAGTGCGTGGCGGTTCGAACAGGTAGCAAGCTATGAATAGCCAAAAGAACAAATACTTGTAGATTTCCGCAGTCACGTGTTGAATTGGTAGCCCCCCCCAAAAAAAGACAATAACTGTCATTAAACATCGCCGGCATCGATAGGTGGCCAAAGGTTGTGATTATTTGGATTAAAAATACACCATTTTCAGATCTGTTAGGTAAAAACAGATAATTTCCCATGGCAGATCTGCCATTGGCCCGCCGGTTTGGGCAATATTATTTGGCGTTGAAGCGCTGCGTGGAGCTCACCAGTTTAACTCGCCGGCGTCAGTCTTCTGAGCGATGAGGGCTTTCCAGAACTGGTGGGTGCTCTTCACCGTCTCGATGGCAAAGTCCTACCATACACGACAGACAATAAGTGCCAGGAGGTAGGAGCGCCTTCACTTGAAAGCGCAGCAATTTACAAGTTTTACCCTGCCCTTGAAGTGTCCGCTAAAGGCAAATTGATTTTCGGCTTTCCCGTCGGGGACTTTATATCGCTTGAACCAGTCCAGCGTGGCCTCCAGGTAGCCCGGCTTGAGTCGTGCCACGTCGTCGATGTCTGTGGGGGACAAAACGCAATCGTCGCGATCTGCTGCGCGCTGCTTCACCAAACGCTCGCCCGTACCGTTAAAGAATGCGGCCTCCGGGTCATCCGCGTTGATGACGACGACCTTCCAGTCGGTTTCGCCCTCGTCGATGAGCGCCAGCGTGCCCAGGACCTTCACTCTGATCACTTCCCCTGCGGCGCACACCTGACGGAGGGAGCACTTGTATTGCAACTGCAAGATCAAGCCCACCTAACCAACGTTTACACACCCACTGTAAGACCTGACGTGAAGTAATTTAGGCGTTTTATACCTTGTCCCCAATGTCGCAAATGTCAATGGGGTCATTGTCCCCGCAGCAACTCGTGTCGCTGTCTTGGTGGTGAGGGTCCTCCCATGTCTGTGCCAAAACGAGACACACGATCGTTAGCACTCCCCGAAGTGAAAATGTCCGAATTAGAAAAACCCTCAAAACATTGACGCACACGTTGGACTTTTTCACCTCGGGGTGAACTCACTTTTGTTGCAATTTGATTCATGGCTGCGTGTTGAGTTACGTTGAGAAATGCGATACAAGCTGTCCAGTGACAACTTGACACTGTTGCCCGAGTTTCTTCACTGTCGTACCACGAGAAGATGCCGTCCAAGATTTTGGGAACATACCTGCGGGATGGCTCCGTAATTCCAGATGTAGCCTTTGTGCGGGAACACGTTTGCCACGTAGCGAAGCTTCCCGTTCTTGACGTCCTGTTTCAGAGGATTGAGAGCGTCTTTGGTGGCTATCTGGGAAAAACAAACAAACAAACAACAATGTCATTTATGAGGAGTATGGCGTTAACATGACATAAGATCAACAATCATGGCCAGTACCTCCATCTTTGCGTTGGTCCACCTGGGAACCTCCACCACGGCGTGAAATATGTTCTGCCGGATGAATATGATCAATGAAAGAATGACATTTCGAATCTTATTTTTGTGACCGGTGTAAATCCGATCGCGGCGGGATCTCGCCGGTGAGCGCAGCCTGGCTGATCTGCGGGTGGGCGGGCTGCGCCGCTGTGGGAGTGTTTACAGCCGACCTCAATAGTCACCAATCAAAGCGGGTCCTCCTCGCATTCCCGCTAATTCTCGACAGGCACATCAAGATCAAATTCAACAAAACTTCTTAGACCGGCAATCTCCTTTGCTCCAGGAATTGGATGTGGTCTGAGCGGGTGCAAATTCCCAGACAGGGATCATATCGAGACCAAGTCAGTAGCAGTATCAAATCGATACGACCATGATGAGATTGGTACCATAGTTTGTTTCCCTCTTACTACAGATTCTGTCAATGAAAATAGAGCCCATGTGATATTTTCTTTGCCATCAAATGTCTTCATGGCACAAATTTGACGTGAGCTGGGGTCAAGGGTTAAAGAAAATAAAAAGAGGACACTCACCTGGGCTTCATCTGCAAAGACGGGGATGTCGTGGAAGGGAGATATGTATTGGCCCTCTGCGTTCTCTGTGCAAAGTAGATGTTATTTTTTTCCCCCCCCCCAAGTGACAAGAAGAGCAGCAAAACGCGCCGGTTGACGAAAAGGCTTACTAAAAAAGAGCCTGTAGCCAACCGTGTTGGGTTGCCCTCTCGCCTCGGTGCTGAAGCTCATGGCGATGACCTCCCTTTTCCCGTTTTGTTTCCTCGTCCGTGGAGCGGAGACGCTCGAGGCGGCGCGCCGCGCTTAAGCCGAGCGTCAACGGGCAACGGGCCGACCGACCACGTGACGGCAAGCGTTCAAAGAAATGCCGCAGAAAGACGCACGCTTCACTTCCACAGAGGCAATGCTGTGAGCCGGAGAGCAACTTTTCAGGCCTTAGCGCGCTTGGCAGTTTTTAGATGTTATTGACGCGCCGCGAAGCTCTTGAGACGCCCCTTTCAGACAAAAACAGATGGTGCTCACTTTGCTTGCTTCCAATGCACGCGTGAGCTGTAAACCAATTAACAAGCCGGATTAGCTGTCTTCTTCCCTTCTCGGGGGTTTTGCTGCAAGCGTTTGATAACGTATTTACAGGCTTGATTTGTTTTCGTTTGCGGGCTGTGCGGCGATTGCACGTTGCAGAATTCCATGGATGTGATTGAGGTAGAGATGATTGTTACCCATACACGTGTTCGGTTTTTCCACAAATAATTACAATTTTTAAAAATCTGCAATTCTATTTCTCAAATATGACGAATGCCAAAGCACAACTCTTTTAAATTCACAAACCTTGTTCACGCATTTCCATCAGCCACCTTGAGAGTCCAAACCAGTTCAAAACGTAACTAATAACAACATGACAAGGGGAAATCGGAGGAAGAGAAATACCTTTATAAAACCAAAAATAATAAATTAGGGATTAAAAATATCCCACCCAAGTTTTGGTTTTCTTAATTCAGAGTTCATCCGACTCTGGATGCAATCTTCAAGTACAAAGGCCCCTCATTTCCAAGCACACAAAAGGATCAAAGGATTTTTTTTTTTAAGGCAAGTGACATGCAGTGCGCACATGACTATGTTGCTCACGACTCCTTTTGGGATAAAATGTCAAATTTGAGCAGCGACGTGAGAGCAGCTTGAGTGTTTACATCCAGAGGGTTGGACAGCACGTTGAGCCACTTGAGTGCCGGCATGGCCGACAACTTGTCCACTGGCATTTCTGCGAGATCAAACGACAACATAAACAGGTTGTTCCAAGGAGAGCATGTTGCGTAATCGTGAGGAACTTGATTGCTGTGAAGAAAACGACTTATATAAAACCAAAAAATGGATCAAAACACTTGGATCGGACATCAGCTTTCTCAATTTAAAAAAAAAAAAGAAAGGAGATCCGCTCCAGCTGCCCCCTAAAAAAAGACACTTTTGTGTGTTGTTATAAGGAAACTCTCACTCTAGAATGTTTTACTGTTTAAAAACATTTAAAAAAATATGATATGATGACAAACGAATGAGTTATTTGTCATTATTCTTCACAGAGGATAAAGAATGTATGCCTGTGAGTATTGTTCGTGTCTGTCCACAACACTGATGCTATTTGCTAGCCTGGCTATGCCAATGCACGTTATGTATTAAGATTAAGCTAGCGCACGTAAAGCCAAAGTTATGTGGTTGTTTAAACTAGCCAAGGTGTAATGAATTGCCCATTACCGGTGATGTTGTTCCCTTCTAGGTTGATCCGCTCCAACGTGGCAATTTGCGTGAGCTTCTCAGGGAACTCCGAGAACTTGTTATTGGCCAAGTTGATGCTGGTCAAGTGCCTCATTTCCTCCAACGAGTCAGGCAGTTTGCTGAGAACATTTCCGTGCAAGTCCAGTTCTGAAAATATATATATTTTTTCCTTCTTTTAAATGCGTCAATCAAGGGAGCTACTGCTCGGTGACATTTGACTGTAAATTGGGCACCTCTCAGTTGAGTGAAAGTGGAAAAGAACTTGCTGCTAATGGCCTTCATCTCATTATCCGCCAGGGTGATGACCCGGATGTTCTCCGACACGCTGCTGAGAACCTTGAAAACGCCTTCTGGGAATGAGATGAGCTTGCAGTTGGACAGGTCTGCAGGGAGAGCAAAAAAAAATCAAGCGCATAAGTTCAAATGGGGGTTCCGAGAGGAAAAGAAACGCATCCTCTGCTGCCCCTTCCAGGTTTAAATACAAATGGCACCCAGCACAGAATACAAAAATGGAGTACTGTACCTTCAATTAGGAGTTAAATTCGTTCTTTTGCAACCCAAAGCAACAAAAAAAGCCTCCACTTACCCAGGTGATCTTTTCCTTCCTCGACGGTTGCGTTGACCCGCCTAGCCACGTTAACCACCGCCTCCGCCATTTTGTGATGTGCCTATGGCAGATCACATTCCATTTAATTATACGTCACAGAAATTTTCATTTTTCATACCCTTACAAATGAAGTATATGGGTATATGTGTCCTGAATGAAATTCCGTAATTTGGAACAAGTTTTCTGAAGATTCGAATTACAATGATTAAATACATATGATTTTTATTGGATTGTATACTATTCCATTCCCATGCAACCCAACACAAATTAGCGTTTTAACAGTTCCTCCTTTGTTGTTATTCCTTTACAAACGGTAAAGCTGTGTTAACTGTTTACCCTGAATCTCGCAAGTGAGTAGGCCACGGCGGAAGTGCATTTTCCTAATGGCCGACAGGGGGAGCCACCATTGATGGAGTTAAAAATGGATCTACTGTGTGCCAACGGCCGAACGAGTTGTCGTCATAAATGTCACGACTAAATGTGTACCTCCCACTAAACATGCATTATCGTTTCACGTAAAACACACACAGAGACAATCCTGGGGGGTTTTAATCAGAATAAACTCGTACTCTCATAGACTAACTACAATGACACGTGATTTTGTGTGGCACTTGCTGCACATCACTGAGGAAATTAGTTTTAACAGTCGCATTAGATGGCGCTCATTTAAATCCATGATGAGCTACATAGAGGAAGTATGTTACGAGTATTTCACGAACATTTGTAGTTAAAAGGAGGAGAGATTAACGTACCCTGACAATCCTGTTCCGGAAGTTAGTCGGTAGCTAATGATACCTCCCTTGACAAATTTGACGTGTGGTATTTTTAGCTCAGTCGAAAGGCCAAATCAACCGAATTGTCACCGGATCGCGAGAAAAGATGTCTAATAACGTAATAGAGCATACTCGCGCGATAGTGTGTGTTTAATTTGGAAGCTAGGATACTACATTTAAAAACAACAATAAAAAAGCCGGCTATGGTGTCGGCATGTGGTAAACAGCTTCGTAAGCGTCAAAATTGCGCAGAATAATCGCAGCCCGACCAACAAAACGATTTCATGATTTTTCGTTTGTTTTTCTACAAAGACCTCAACACGAGCAACATCTTTTAAAATCTAACAACCAAAAAAATAATTGTGATACATTTTGAGTATTTCTGCTACAGTCGTCATCTCTTGAGTGTCAAAACTCCACAATGTAATGAATGATATTATATGGTTACAGAACTTCAATTCGCATACTTTTGTTCTCGCAAAGGAATTTAAACTTAATTGTAAATTTCCCACTTACCGTAATTGTATTTCCTACTTGAGTTAAATTCATCCTACCTGTCAGTGCTGGTCCACTTCTCTATATTACCTTAAGCCTACTTACTTCAGCTCTGACCCTATGGTACATTTGTGGTTAGTCAGTGAAATGTATTCACCAGGCACTCTGGTCAATAGTTCTGTGTTGTCTCAACCTTACAGCATTTGCTAGATTTCCCTCCACCCCAATGCATTTGTTTTGAAGCCGCACGAGTCATTGTGCCTAGCCTGAACACTCACGAGAAAAGTTGACCTTTTTCTCTCCTTTGTGTTGTGACCTTTCCGTAGTGATGTCGCAACACGTCAGACTGAGCAAAAGCTCCACCATTGTCATCAACAAAATGAAGGTTAACGGGACAGAATCTTTGCAAAAAATAAACATAAATATGGCCATTTTTAATATCCACAATAAATATACATTAATTTACAGACCATCATACAGTGCATGGTGAAAGAAAAAGAGCTCCCCCATTTCCGGTATTAAGTGTGTTGTTTTGTTTGTTTTCAAGTCTGTTTCAGATCTGCTCACTGGCAGCCACACTCGTCCACCATCATGTCCTCATGATGCCGAAGGAGCATCTCGCCGTTCTCGTAGTAGAGCATACTTAGGGGGCTCATCTTGGTGGGGGCGCAGCATGGCGAGGCCACTCGGTTGGGGTGGTAATGTGTGAGTAAGCTCTGTGCAGGGAAAGAGAGAGAGAGGACACGAGGCAGGCAGGCATCAGTGATGGGATTATGCAGTTAAATTGTTTCAGCCACCATGTTATGGGGGCTTGACCGATTAATCGGTTGGTCGATATTAGCCCATTTCAGAATAATTACAAAAGAGTCTATTGGAAACATCAAGGGACCCCAAAATAAATTATTGTATTCATGACATTTTTTTAATTAATAGACTGGTTAATCAGTTTTCTGGAGGTTTTTTTTTTTCCTACATCAAATATCAGAATCGGCCTCCAAAAATTCATATCAGTTTCACCGTAGAAAGAGAGGAAGGAAAGAAGCGAGGTATGAAGGATGGTAGTACAGACTTAAGAACAGAAGGAAATAAGGAGATACGGGTTGTTTCTCGCTTACCTGCATGTAAGCGTGATTGGTTGGGTTGAGGTGGACCCCCAAGGGTCCTGGGCAGGATCCCTCACAGCGATAAGCGTTGTATCTTTTGGGGAAGATGATCCAGGACCCCCAGCCGATGAGATTAAAATCCACGTGCAGGTCCACTCTGCGGCACAGGGACTCATTCGCTCTCCACTCTGAGGCACCGCTTGCCTGTTCCCTGTGACCCCGCTTGCTCCTGCGCCTCTTGCCGCCCCATCGCACAGGCCGCCTGGTCTCAGCCGGGCTCAAGAACTTGGAGCGCTCGGCCGTATGGAGCAAGCTGGCCTTGGCTTTAGGGTTCCGGTCGGAGCCGGTGTGCGAAAAAATCACCAGCAAGGCTCGGTCGGCCGGCGGGCCAAGCTCGGGGAGTGCCGCCTCGGCCTTCCTCCTCGCCTGTTTGCGCCGGACCCTGAGCGAAGATTTCTGCCGCAGCCAGGCGAGGAGCGGACTCGTCATGTTGAACACCCTCCAGCTGCGGGAGGAAGAGACCAAGGAGGACGGGCCCAGGAGAACCACCGGCTGCGGCGCTTCGCGACAGATGTCCGACGCCCGGTGGCACTCGGGGCCGTGGTGGTACACGGCCACCGACGTGTTGGGGGCGCTTGGCGGAAGTCGGATTCTCAACTCGGCCGCCTGGATCTGCTTGTCCGACAGCAGGGCGTGGAGGTCGAACGTGGCTGCCCAGAACCCGTGTCTGTGTGCCAACCCTGGTGGACAACCAGACACAAAACAACAAGTCAGGAGCGAGTCTTGTGTTTGTCCGGAGAAAAGAAAGAAGAGAGACGGGAACGAAGGGAAAAAAGGTTGGTATGCTCAGACCAAAGCCATGTATCGTATAAGAATATTGTTTTCGTCCCATCTTGGTGTCAAGGAACTTTGTTGACAGGAGGGGAAGGAGTTTCATAAAAAAAGGACACTAAAGTAAATATCATGATTTTGTTGCAATGCACCAGAGGGATCCGGGATCTGAAAGGCCAGATTACGGCAGCCAATTTCGCATTCATTGCAGACAGGAAAATAAATAATGTTCTTTCTGAGGTTTGTATGAATTTATGAAAGTGTCACAATAGTTGCATCTCTTCACCGCAAGAAATAAATTTGATAAAATAACTACCTCCCCAAATATATTGCATATGTGTTTGAAATTCAACACATCAATAGAATATTTAATCAAATTAAATACAATATTAACTGTAATCAAACATGAATGAAAATAATAAACAAGACAAATAAAGACAGAAAAGTACAAGTAGAAGCCATTAGTGGAACTAAATCTGGGATGCGATGGGGGGGGGCGGTAATGTTTTTCAGGTGAGGTTCAAATTAATCTAAAGGATGAAAGAGTATCTTCAAGATGTGAGTTTTGTGCATCACATGATCATCTTAATCCACTCACATCAAGCAGCCTCGAAACTGGCTAAAGCTGCAAGCCAGCCAGCTGGCCATTATTTATTTTCCATCTCGGCGAGTTGGGCTTTGTGCATTTCCTCCTCAGCCACACAAATAGGTACAAACACTTGACACCTAACAGCGAAATGGGAGCCACTGCCTCGTTAACAAATCCCCCTGCGCCTCTAATCTAATCAGGGCCAAGTGTGAAAAGGCAGGGGGAAAAAAAGAACTAAGGACACTTGTGTAGTAGAGATTTGAGCAGGAGGGGGCGCGTCTGGCGAGATGCTCAATCAACAAGACCTATTTAAGCAAAAAAAAAAAAAAACGGAGAGAGAGAGCGAGAGAGAGAGAGAGAGAGGTTTGCTTTGAGAATTAGACTGGCTGATCCTCACCCCGAGTGGGATGTGGATTGCAGCCCCTCTGCTTGTCTGGCATCCCCCCCCCCCAACACAACGCCCTCCCCTTTGCAGGAATGTCATGAAAAATGTTTGAGAGCAACATACCTTTGGCCATCAAACTCCTGACTGTGTCCGCTCGCCTCTCGGCATCTTGCTCCGCCGCATCCGACGCGTTGGCCTTGAAGTTGCGATACAGGTGGACCATGTAGGTGGGCAGGATGTGCCCGCTTCCTCCAGCTCCGGCTCCTCCGGCGGCAGTTCCGGGCTCCCGCACGCCGTGCGGCCGAGCGGCATCGCGGGCGTGCTGCAGTTGGACTGCGCGGCTTGGCTGGTGCTGCTGGTGGAGAAGGAGCAGGAGGAGGAGGACCGGCAACAGCGGGGAGGCTCGCAATGAGCGCATGTTGGCCCACGAGAGCAATAACAACGATTTTGGCCCACATCTCCAGGGGTGTCTTATATACCCTCAGCCGCCCCCCTCCGGTGCATCACGGACCCCCTGCTCACCCCCCTCCTTTCATGTTCCACAAGTAGCTGAGAACATTAAAGGAAGTTGACATGCGTCCTCAAGACGTGTTACCTGACAGCTCATCAGCCATTCAGCTGCTAATGAGGGCGCCTGGGTGAGATGGGGTGCGTGTTTACAAGCAGGTCACCCGCCCCCTCTACGGACCCCACCACCGCCCGACCTTGCACTCGGTTTTGCCATTAGAGCGAAGGAGGAGTGGCCAAAGTTTTGCGCTCAGTATAATTACGGGTTTCCACTCGCATAGCGCTTTTCTACCTTATCTACGCAAAAGCGTTTCAAAACTGTTTATCCATTCACCTACTGATGGATGACACTGCACCAGGATCAACCGGGGTTCAGTATTTTGCACAAGGACACTTTGACCTCGTCACAATAACCGTGGATCGGCCTCTTCTTAATCAGATCAAATAATGCATAATAGAATCAATCAAGTCAAGTCAACTTTATTGTCAAATATGCTCTATGTGAAACATACAGCGCAGATGAAATTTCTTTCCTCTCAACCACAGTGTAAACACAGGAGAGGGAGGAGTCAATATCTATGTTAGTAAAATATGTTATTGTTAATGATTAGTTGGCTAAAATGTTTAATAAAAATCAATCGGACCTTTTTTAATTAGTCCTTTTATTTACAGTAAATAAATGAACACATTTAAGATGTAAGAGACAATGTCTAGCACTTTGTTGTAAAAGTGTTGTGTAAATAAAGTTGAGTTGAGTTTTGGATTGTCATTTTGGATATTTCCCACGACATCAATATGTGCTAAACGTTTAAATGACACCATCTGTGTATTTCTGTTCTAACAACCAACAGAAACACCAGTTATGATGTAATCATTTCAATAAGTTATTATTTCGGTTGACGTTGTCATTAATAGATAAACGTTTTCTCCCTGCCTTTCCATCTCGTATTTGCGCATGCGCAGTTCGACTCCATTCTCCACTGTGGAAGCTCGCGTTTCCCTCCCGTCGACATCCCCGAGAAGGAAAAAAATAAATCAAATAAAGATCAAATCAATGGGTGACCCGGCGTGACGGGGAAAACCTCAGCCGCCGGCTCCATCCCGTTCCCGGTTCCCTTCGTGTCCCAAACGGTTTGTTTTTTGGACTCTTCGTCGTCCCGCGAGCTGCAATGGTGAGTTCGCGTCTTGTGAAAAGTTTGGGGGAGCACTTGGTTGGTTTTCGGGCACCCTGGCCAGGCTGCCACGAGCTTCTCTTTCTCCTTTTTTCTTGTGTTGCCACGAGGATGCTAACTTTAGCCTCTCCCAGCTAACTCACGTCGTTTGGAACCGTTCACCAAGGAACAATACAGAACGTTGTCGTGATGCAAAGGTGCGGATCAAGGAGAAAGTGGGGCACAGGGGCACCCATGTGGTTTTTGGGGGCCCCCCAACTCCTTTGGGATTAAGACAGCGCTCGAAAA